GTCGTCGTCCCTTCAACTTCTAGTGTGTGGTCTGGTCAACATACTTCAGCCACGTTATTGTGACTCATCGCCTGCTTATTTTTCGTGATTTACACGCATCTGGAGGGTTATTAAGGCCACCAGAATGGCTTACTAACCAGCCAACTAGAATACTTTAGTCCTGAACATTGGCCATGACTAAAGAAGACTCTCAGACTCTGTAAGACCTTTTGTGCCTCTCTGTAATCCCTTTTTGCGCTACTGCTCACAGGATGAGTATGGGGTGCACAATCAACTGATTAATGATTGATAAAGATTAAGTCACCCAAGAGGTGGCACGGGCATGAAGAGCCCGTAAAAAATCAACTCACCTCAATATATATATACACTGAAAAGCAGGCGATATACCTCTCAGTGTATATCTATATATCCCCAGCCGTGGGAGGCGTTCGTGTAGGTCGGATACATCGAGACGACTTCAACATGGCGGTCAATCCTGGGCGACACCTGCTGGGAATACCAACCAGGACAGAACGTGGAGAAAGGTGAGTGTTGGCCAATGGGCGTCCCGCTCTCACTCGTAAACAAACAAGGGCGCGTTCAAACATTCACGCTCGAGCGGACATTATCCCTTAAATTACCCGTTCGTGTTCAAACGTTCACGCTCGCATTCATATCCACGCGGCCAAAGGTACATAACTTGTCAAGACCAGAGGCCAGGTTCACGAAGCAGTTACGCAAGTACTTACGAACGTGTACATCTTTCCTCAATCGTTGACGGCTTTACTTACACTTATTCAATAGTTTACAAGCATGAAAACTTCCCAATCAATTGTTGTTATTGTTATAAACAGCCTCCTGGTGCTTCAGAGCTCATTAACTGTTAATAGTTGTAAACAAAGCCGCCAAATATTGAGAAAAGATGTACAGGTTCGTAAGTGATTGCGTAACTGCTTCGTGAATCTTAACATAGCGTGTTGAATCCCTCGTTCGCGTTAAACCAATCATCAATTGGTCATTTTTCTTTTCGTATCGCAAGTCTCGTTGAACCACTGAACACTCTTCACTATGTGTGTGCGTGCGTGCGTGCGTTGGGAGACCATTAATGCCCGCCTTTTTTGTCTTCTGTTGAGAGATAACTCATGACTGCCCCGTTTTCTGTTGTTTAAGTGCTCGCTAATTTCGCGAGTCTCATTAATTTTGCGATTGCCTTACACGACCGTCTCGCTGTGTTTTTGTTTCCGCGAGAGAGAGAAACTTATGAGCGTTTGTTATGTAAGTTGTGGGCGTGTGGTAGCCTTGCTGGGCGGGGGACTGGGGGCGGGCTCCAGGGCGCCATGTACAGCACTTGTTTTTTCCCGCCCATCTGAGGCGTGACGTTTTACCCGGGAAAATTTTGTGGGAGACGAAACTTTTTCCCGAAAACATTCTGTTTTTATGGGTGATGCATGTCTCTTGTAAACTTTTCCCAGATATGCTTTCGTTAAAAACCACGATTTTCACCTTGTTTGTGGTTACTCATGTTTGGTAGACTGTGTACTCACCTATTTGTGCTTGCGGGGGTTTGAGCTTTGGCTCTTTGGTCCCGCCTCTCAACTGTCAATCAACTGTGTGTGTGTTTACTAGTTGTGTTTTTGCGGGGGTTGAGCTTTGCTCTTTCTGCCCGCCTCTCAACTGTCAATCAACTGTTTACTAACTACTTTTTTTTCCCCCACACCACACACACCCCAGGAAGCAGCCCGTGACAGCTGACTAACTCCCAGGTACCTATTTACTGCTAGGTAACAGGGGCACTTAGGGTGAAAGAAACTTTGCCCATTTGTTTCTGCCTCGTGCGGGAATCGAACCCGCGCCACAGAATTACGAGTCCTGCGCGCTATCCACCAGGCTACGAGGCCCCCTAAGCCTGTGTGTGTGTGTGTGTTCTTTATCGTTGTTAGGTATGTGAAGCCTTTTAGGCTTGGCGTGATCTGCCTACCCAACAACCTGTTGTGGGTTGTATCCTACCCGCCAGGATACAACCCACAACAGTCGCCTAACTCACGGGTGTTTACACACAGAAATCACAATAGCGTAATGCATCAAATGAACAAATCTCGGACGTGAACAAATCTCGCTGTCGGACGTAGGTTCGAACCCTCGTCACGGCCCGTGTGGATTTGCTCACCGGTGTTTATATACTGTCAGGTGAACAGAGACATCAGCAAAGGATGACAAAGATAACCCCAGCAACAAGAAAGCTTCCATATGAGGAGAGATGTTGTTGTTGTTGTTTCAGATTTAGCTACTCAAAACGAAGTATCCATGTAGCACCGGCTATGGTGAGCCCGTAAGAGGAGAGATTGAGGAAGCTACATTTATATTCTCAAGAAAGACGAAGAGTTGGGGAAGAGTGTACCTTACCTACCTTGAGGTTACCTTGAGGTATTTTCGGGGCTTAGCGTCCCCGCGGCCCGGTCGTCGACCAGGCCTCCTGTACAAGTGGTAAGGGGGCATAACAAAAGGGATACTAATAAAATATTAAATATATCAACACAAAATAGTACACGCAACACTGGATATATATAATAGGTAAGTTTAGATTCAAGGGAATACCTGGGTAAATACTGGTTTGGAAACTGGGGCTATAGGTCTATGAAACAGTTTACCGGGTAACAGAATAGACGAGGGATCGCTTGATTGTTTCAAGCGTAGGTTAGACATGTATATGAATGAGTTTGGGTGGATGTAGTTAGGCGCTGCCTCGTATAGGCCAATAGACCTTATTCTGCAGTTTTCCTTAATTCTAAACTTCTTACGTATGAGGCAAAAAATTCTTCATCAGTAATCATCAATCGAGATTAGAACAACATCATTAGCATATGTACTGATAACAGTTAAAATGTAGGGAAATACATTTTGTCGTAGCTCAGTCGATTAAGGCAGCGTCTGGGATCCTCTCGGACGCAGGTTCGAATCCTCGTCACGGCCCTTGTGGATTTTTACATTTTGAAGATTATATATTTTTTAGAAGATCTAAGTGTTTTAAGATGGGAATATTAGTAGAAGCAGTTTAATGCTGAGAAATATGGGGCATTATGTCTAACAATTATCATCAAATTACCAGACATCAACCAGCCAACACTGAAATTGCCAAATTTGAATACGATACAGCTGGTATTATCATCATGCCTTCAGTCACAATAACGGGGCTGAAGATATGATAACCAAACCACACATTAGAAACACAAGAATCAAGGTACCTGCAGAAGGCTTATATTGGCCCATACGAGGCAGCTCCTATATTGAATCGACTTGAGAATGGTCCAGGACGGACCGAAACGTCGTCGTCCCTTCACCTTCTAGTGTGTGGTCTGGTCAACAATCAGCTCCTATATTTATATCCACCCAAACTCATTCATATATATATATATATATATATATATATATATATATATATATATATATATATATATATATATATATATATATATATATATATCTATGTCTAACCTACGCTTGAAACAATCAAGGGCTCCTACTTCTATTATGTTAGTGGAGAAATGACGTTTCGGTCCGTCGTGCACCATTATCAAGCCACGTGGACCGTTATCTGAATACGATAATGATGTGTTATAATTTGTTGAAATTTTATTCCAAGAACTCATTCTAGAGATGTTAAAAAATGAAGCCAATTGGATATTAAGATTGATAACGACAATTACAAGTAATAAGACAGTTAGTGACCCTCGTTAGGCACCTTTAATTGATGCAGTTTTAGAAATTGTACTACAAAATGGATATAAATTCTCAGAAAAGCGTACAGGAAGAGATAGCAAAAATGGGGTAGAAAAACCCTAAGCTACTATATCCCTTTGAGATGTAATTTGTTATCTTGTCTCAATAAACATACTTGAACTTGATGGCAAAAGTTTAGCCCAAGGAATTAGTGACCTTTGACGAGCGAGATTAAATTTTTACGGGCTATTCATGCCCGTGCCACCTCTTGGGTGGCTTAATCTTCATCAATCATCGTCAATCGAGATTAAAAATCTTTATTTGACCTTACGTGTTAAGGCGACGAGCAAGGGAGACCGTGAGTGATGTACACAAATGGACGAGGGGATATTAATAGGGTGCTATCTTGAGGTTATCTTGAGATGATTTCGGGGCTTTTTTAGTGTCCCCGCGGCCCGGTCCTCGACCAGGCCTCCACCCCCAGGAAACAGCCCGTGACAGCTGACTAACACCCAGGTACCTATTTTACTGCTAGGTAACAGGGGCATAGGGTGAAAGAAACTCTGCCCATTGTTTCTCTCCGGTGCCTGGGATGGAACCCAGGACCACAGGATCACAAGTCCCGCGTGCTGTCCTCTCGGCCGACTATATGGACACGATACAGTGGATTCAAATTGGATGAATTTCGATTTAGAACGATCTGGGTCAATATATTCTGGTATGGAAATAGTGTTGAATTCTGGAACAGGTTAGCGGGTCAAAGAACCTGGAATAGCTGATTATTCAATCGGTGTTCAGGCGGGATGTAAGTAGATGCCTCGGATGAGACAATAGACTTTTTACACTATACTCTATTCTGATGTTACAGTTGTACACAATTAAGATATCTTCGTGTAGAATAGAAGTGATTGTAAATGTAAACATCAGTTGGGAGTGAGCAAGGCTGGTGAGACTCCCTGGGGGTAGGTGTAACCCTGACATTTACACTAACATTTGATGATAAAGTCTAGAAATGCATAAGGATCAAGGTAACTGCAAAAGGCCTATATTGACTCACACGAGGCAGCTCTTATTTATATCCACCCACATCCAGTCACATAGATGTCTAACCTACGTTTGAAACAATCCACCAACTCCTTGGCCTTATACTATCCAGTAATTTATTCGATAATGTTGATGGATGACAGCGTGGAATAAGAGGATGACCTCACGGTGCGGCCGCCCCTGGGGGAGCGGTCACGACTGGCGTCCTACAGAGGGCAGCACACTCACCAGTGGTACCAAGTGGTAACAAATGACTTTACCTTCAGGGGGCTGCGCCTTCGACGGTCAGGTGTTGGGAGGCGTAACTCTTGGGCCTGGCTGAGGTAGAGATATGCAGCACTTCCTGTTTACGGCTCGATGTCTCTTTGACTAGTGTAGTCTTATCTGACTCGCTTTTGACTAGAAGACGTTGTTGGGTAGTGAGAGTACATCCACGGACGACAGGAACAAGACACGTCCTCGATAAAACACGTCACTTTAGGTAGTTAATCCTCGATAGCACCATTCAAATGTTCCGTCACGATTTGATCCGCGCGCCTCTCTTGTGTGTGTCGGATGAGCGTGGTGGCCGCCGCAAGAGGAGGCTGCCTCGGGAGGTGTTGACGGTGGGAAGCGAGGCACAAGACTGTCCTAAGTCAGCCGCCAGTTACCGAGGTCAACTCCGTCCAGGCTCCCTTGGGTATTCCCGGTACTGTCTAGTGTAGGCTCGTGGGCCCTCGCCCGCTACCCTCCCGCTCTCAGCTGGTGACGCGCTTCTGACTCGTGACGCACCGCTGACGCCCCGGCAACATGTGACGTGGCAGTGACGTAGCTTGTCTTCGTGACGTAATGTGGACCAGATACCCACATGAGGGACGCATACGTTCCTTCTCCTCGATTAACAAACATTTTCCCAGATATTTTTGTGACGAAATGTACTTTTTATCTAAATTTATAAATCTTGTTTACATTTGCGTGTAGTGGCAACTACGGGATGATCACAACTTCCTCGTAAGGTCAGTACAAAAACAGTGATCTGGGGCGAGGATATACCAGTTAGTGGCTCGGGCCGCCGGAGTTGACGGGTGACCCGCGACCCGACATCCTTCCCCCTCCCCCCCTCCCTTCTCCTGCTCTAATATAACATACATATATTACTATATTCCGACCAATCGTCGCTTTCGTGGACACGCAGAGGTACCACAGTGCTCTTCAGAATTATATTAAAGCTCGGTGGTTTGACACGAACGGCCCGTGGTTCAGTGGTAGAAAATTATCGCCTGCTACAATGGTTTTCCAGCCAGTTACAGCCCCGCTCCTGTGCCAGGTAGGTCCACTACGGGCTCACCATAGCCCGTGCTACTTGCAACTTTTGTTCCGAGTAGCTGAATTTAAAACAACAACAACAACACGAACGGAAGAAAAGCAAGAGGTGAAGACTGAACCACACACGCCAGAAGATGACAAGACGACGACGTTTCGGTCCGTCCAGGACCATTATCAAGTCGAATGTGATGATGGTCCAGGACGGACCGAAACGTCGTCGTCTCCTCATTTCTAGTGTGTGGTCTGGTCTTCATGTCTTCAGCCACGATATTGTGACTCGTCGTTGACCAGACCACACACTAGAAGGTGAAGGTGGTCTGGTCAACATACTTTAGCCTCGTTATTGTGACTCGTCGTCTGCAAAAACAAAGAGGTGTGGAGGTAGGAAGGAATTGGAGGAAAATTTTAGGCGTGAGAGAGAGTTGAATCCCAACTGTCTATATGCCATAAAGGGTCGCAGAATGTGTGACCCTTGACGGGAGACATCTCCCGTCCACAAGGCTAACCATAGCCCGTGCTTCTTGCCCAGCTCCTGTGCCAGGTAAGTTACGGGCTCACCATAGCCCGTAAGTTACGGGCTCACCATAGCCCGTGCTACTTGGAACTTGTTCCGAGTAGCTGAATCTATAACAACAACAACGTGTGACCCTTCCAATATCTAGTTCACGGCTCCCTGATTCATGTTGCAAGCTACCTATCCTCCGCTTCCTTGTCTCATTGTTGCCACTGGTCGGCCGAGCGGACAGCACGCTGGACTTGTGGTCCCGGGTTCGATCCAGGGCGCCGGCGAGAAACAATGGGCAGAGTTTCTTTTATCCTATGCCCCTGTTACCTAGCAGTAAAATAGGTACCTGGGTGTTAGTCAGCTGTCACGACCTGCTTCCTGGAGGTGGAGGCCTGGTCGAGGACCGGGCCGCGGGGACACTAAAAGCCCCGAAATCATCTGAAGATAACCTCAAGATAACCATCGTACCGTTCGGTATAATTTACGCACAATTTTCCTTCTCTTGAAACTAAGGTGTTTCTCATTTACAGAATTTTATAAACTTTCCAGGTGTTTAAATTCTCTGATAATTATCTTCGGTACCTTACAGGGAATAGCTGGCAGATACCAGTCTGTAATTTAGCAACCTCTTGCCTGTCTTCCCTTCTTAAAGCTCAGAAAGCAGTTAGCTTTTCTCCATATTTCTGGCTCGTATGGATCAATAGGAGAAGCCTCGTATGGACCAATAGGAACTGCCTCGTATGGACCAATAGGAGCTGCCTCGAATGGACCAATAGGAGCTGCCTCGTATGGACCAATAGGAGCTGCCTCGTTTGGACAAACAGGAGCTGCCTTGTATGAACCAATAGGAGCTGCCTCGTT